TGTCTGCCTTGAACAACTTGCCTTGGTCCCAGCTGCTCATCTACCATCACCAGCTCACCTCCTGCAGGTATGCTGTGGATATGGGTACCAGGGTGATGGCAGCTGGGTCATATGCCAGATATGATCTGTCCTTGTTCCCACCCCCAAAACAGTAAATGAAGATCTGCAAAGAAGAGAGCTCCATGGTAGTGTTCAAGATTCCTGAAGTGTTCAGAGGTTATCCTACTACTTTGAAGTTACTGCAGTGGGAAAAATACTGCATGGAAGGTTCTTTAACTTCTCTCCACCCATTTTGACTCCTTGATCTTTGATTTCAGTTCTCTTCTTAAGAGACTAAATTAAATTCAGCTTCTCAGCCTAATTACATTGATTATGTATTAGACCTCAACCTGTTAGCCAAATTATTTTGATTACATACTGGGCCCTCATACAGTTCTGAAAATCAAGTTGTTAATGTCCCTTTCATGTTTTCTCATAATCTCTGTTTAGTTTCAGTAAACTGTATTTCAGTTTCATTGTAAGTATGTGTTAGATGTAATCCAGAATGCTTTCATAGCATTCTGAGTCTGCCTTGGCAAGAAACGTGCTCTTCTGGGTGCTATAGATCAGACCTCTGTTTATCTTAATGAAAAATAAGTCCATGGAGGCTACTTACTATACCAAAAGGAAAAGAAGGTAGGGATTAAATCTGCATTAAAATAAGCATTTTTCCTCCTCATTCAGATTCAGACTGGTGATTCTTTTACAGTGTTCTGTGCTTTTTGCTCTGTGTACTTACATTTCACAGGGAATCCTAATCATGTGTTAGTGCAAGGTTCAACTGTCCAGATTTCATAGTCCAGAGTTTTTTTCTCAAGGTTTTTGCTGGTATTTGGCTTGCTACAGCCATTGTGGCATGGTAATACCACCCTGATATAAACTTGAATTCAGCGTGATACTCATTAGAGGAAAGAAATTTGCGGATTAGTGTTTGACCTGTGTGGAGAAACACCATACAGGGTGCTGCCTAGCACCACGTCTTCTTCAGGCACAGAATCTCTCTTGCCTTGTGCTTATGTTGTCACTAATAAGCCATGCAGTCTTTTAAATCTTTTAATGACACAGGAATCCAAGTGATTTTACCGTCCTCTTCAAATCCTCACCCTGCTCTGACCAGTTTATCTTAGAAAGCAATATGCAAGCTTGCTGCATCATTATAGAGTTATTAGCAAGTGTGGTTGGAAAGGTAAGGTCAGACAGAGTTCCTCTGGTTGCTCTTGTTTGTCAAGGTAGCTTGAATACCATTTTTGGGGGACTGTCAGAAAGGGAAGGATAGAGTCTTCTGACCTATTGACATACATGGGATGTGGGGTGGACCCTCCTTACAGGTCCCAGTATGGTCACTTATGTCTTAGCTAATCACCCAAAAGTAAAAGTTGCACCATGGGATGCTTGATGATGATCAGTTTAATTTAAAACCAAAAATTGGCTGTAACTTTAGATGTACTTGGCCTTTTCTTCCCCTGGTTGCAAACTTAGCATTGTACTCTGACCTGTCCTTAACCGGGTACCTGTCAGGGGGGTGAAGGATCCAACTTCGCTCAAAAAAGTTGAGACAAAAAATGTACCACACCATGCCTGATACAGGATGACTCAAAGGATGCAAGGGCATCCTCAAACTGTTGAGACTGGCAGGAAACCTTTTCCTCTCCTTGTCCTTCACTCTCTTGGATTATTTTTAAGCTTAGTCAAAGGCACTGATGAACATAAACCATATACTTTTGATTGTTAAAAACAGAATTTAAAAGTTGGAATCACACTATTACTGATTGTCTTAATGTTCAATTAAGTATGTAAAGCTCTAATTTTTAAAAATAAATTGATGAAAAAAACTGAGGGTTGTGTTTTAATCATGATCTGAAGAAACACATTCTCAATCTGACATTTTTCAGAGTAGTCTGAACACATTTTTAGAGGTTTATCAGCACTTTTGGAATTGAATGTATCTGTCAGTATACAAACGTTTGGGTAGGAGGGAGCCTTTGCCAGAACAAGGAGAAGAATAGGTATTTCCCATTCTAGTCACAGGAAGAGAATTGATAAAAACGTATCTGTAGTTTGACTGTTGTGGTGTCAAATACATTGAATTGTTCCCTGATGCAGCAGAACATCCATTACTTATTGTTAGGAGTTGTGGTTTCTGAAGTAGTTTGGTTTGTTACTGGGAGGAGGAAGCTGAGCTTGGATCTTTGATCTGAACTAACAAACACTGTACCTTTCATGAGAAGTGTGTTACCTTGAAATCTTTAGCAGATGAATACACAGAATTGTTAGTATAAACTTGTTGGGCTTTTTTTAGAGGTCTGGTTAAAATTGCTGAGCTGTGTGGCTTAAGTTGACTTAACTCATTTTCTCCAGTTACCCTTCTATCCAAGGGCAAGCTCTGGAGGCCGGATCTCCTGTGGTAGCACCATAGTGCCACTTGCAGAGGTCATGGGGTACAGCTGTGTGGCATTGAAGTAACAATGACTTAGAAACTGTTTTGGCAGCCTTCTGGTATGTGCTGGCTGACTGGAGCACGGTTGAAAAGCAGGGATGGTCATGCTTGACGATGGAAAGGAGGAGGAAATCTGTTGGATAAATGGCTAGTGATTCAGGGCTAGAATTACTCTGGAGTCATCATTTCTAGATGGGAGGTTGTCATAGCAACAAAAAATGCTTTTGTTCAACATTTCGTACTAGAAATGGTACCCATCCTCTTAAATAACCACTTGGGCTAATTTTAGAATTTATCTGCAATTTAGAATACTTGCTTTCCTGAGGTATGTGCTGCCTTAGGATACTGTAGTGTCTGCGTGTGTGCAGGCACATGTGAGCACCTGTTAGTCTGAAACTGAGAATTTGTTTGGGAATAGAGGAAACAGGAAGTGGCTTTTCCCGTTCCAAGTAATGAACAAAATGCGGGTGGCAGTGGAAGGTAACCACAGAGAAACACCATTAGGCTCAAGCACAATATTGAAAGTCCAGAATCCTGTGCAGTAATAGTTTTTATAATGAATCTTAATAGCATTGATTTTTCATTACATGGAAAGTCATTGCTTCCTAATTCTTAGTGCTGATTTTCTTTCTGCTTAGTCTATTAATATTTTTATTTGTAATGCTTTTTTTTTTTTTTTAAATTTCAGTTAATGGATAAAAATTACCTTGCAGATCACTTGTATTTCAGCAAAACCACTTTTAAGTATTTAGTGTTTGGGATTAAAAACTGAAATAGTCTGAAAAATGTGATGTAATAGGTATTACTTGTACAGAAATGCTTTTAACTTGCTGATGTCTGCCATTTTTATTGAAACAAGTTCTAGAGTGGTTTTGGTAACTGAGACTTCAGTGTATTGTCTCCCCTTATTTGTTATATAAGGCTGTAAGGGGGTTTTATGATATTAAATTTTCAAAATGGGCATCTTAAATCTGTTTAGTGAAAACTAAATGTTACTTTCAGTTGCTTTGGTATCTTAAGTACCGTGTGTATATTACAACATAATACAATTGTTAATCTATTCTTGAAACATACATCATTTCCCAGTTATGCTACTAGGACAAAATCTGAATAAGATTACTGTCTTGGAGACTCTAAAGGTAGATAAATTTATGTATGGGAACACTTCAATGTGCACTGAATGTGTACACTCCAAGACTATGCAAATTGTTGATGAATAAGCTTTTCTGGAAATACTTTCTAGAACCTGAAGAAAATTGGTTTCTCTTATTTTAGCAATAGCCCTATGCAAATGCCATTGATGTTATTTCGAGGAGGAGGGAAGCACTGCTTTTATACCTATTATACTTAACAAAATGCTAATTAAATCAATTCAAGCTGCTAAAGTACCAGCATCACAACTTGATTTCCATCATGAATTCCATTCCCACATGATTTTTTTCCCTATTTCATATCTTGTGGGCACTTTCTGAGAATATGGTTTTTCCTGTGAGGAAAAAAAAAAAAAAAAGCCAAGGTATATTTTAAGCTCTGTGTGCTTCTAACTTGCAAACTTTAAAGACTTCTACAGCAAATTCAGGGCCTGCAGAATGAATTGCAATATTGCAGTAAGATGTCCTGATCAGCTGTTTCTATATTTTTAGAGTAGATCACTCCTAGATGTTTTATCATTCTTGTAAAGAATGCCATGACATTATTCATATTTTAAAAGTTAACTATTGCGTTCTTTAAACCTGCTTTTCCTCCTTCAAAAAAAAAAAAAGGAATGAGAAAGGCAGCATCACAAGTTCTGACAGGCTTTTGTTAATGATGCATTTTATTCAGCTTGAGAGAGAGCACTGTCAAGTGTAGTCTGGGAAATAACACCAAACTGGAAACCTAGAGTGGGAACCATTTTTCTGGTTTTATGTTGTAAACTTCATACAGAGGAACAGTGACAGTCTGATAAGGATTATTACAGTAAAAGCAACTTGCTCTGAGTAGGCAGTAAACTGCTACACATCTTCATATATGTTTTAGAAGCTGTTGAAGCTACTGCAATAGTAAGACTCACTCCTTATAACTTTTATATCAAAGCCTGAATGCCCCAGCCAAGCCTGGGACTCTGGCAGCAAGGCACAGGACAAATAGGCAGTGAAAGGTTCAGCTGCTGTAAATAGACAAGTTCCTGTGATCCCTTTGAAGCTGAAGTTGGATACCTTGGAGACCTGGAGTTCTCAGAGGCAAAAAGGTGAGATTAGCTAAGGAAGAACTACATTATTTGAAATTTTCTTTTCAGTTGGCTGGTAACTTCAAATAAAGGGGCTAGTCCATGTGCCAAGGTGATCTGTTCCCATCTGTGTGAGGGCTGTGGTACAGAAATGGACACTGAAAAGATAAGCAGAAGAATAGATGACTGTACATTCAGAGGATGATGAATAAGAGCTTATTTTGCTTCAGTCATTGCTGTAACAAAAATCGCTTTTTATAAGATTTTCTTTCCAAGTTCAGCTGCAATTAACTGCTTTAATTTCTTTTTAAACAGGTGTCAAACAAAAAATCAAATAGCACTCCTCCCCCAGCACAACTATCTAAAATCAAAGTACCAGCACCACAGACAGTAGTGAAGAAGGAAAAGCGGCAGAGTTCTTCAAGGTTTAATGTTAGCAATAACAGGGAGCTTCAGAAACTGCCAGCTTTAAAAGGTATGTCTTTCTAAACTAGAATTACTCTTGTGGGGAAACTTGTGCGTGAGACTGAGGAGCATTTCAGCTTTATTCTTATATCTGGACAGCATACATAATATATTGAGTATGCACCTATGCACATGGCACATACTTGCACTGGGGTTGTTTTTTGTTTTGTTTTGATTCATATTTGAGGACTTCCAGTGTTTGCTTTCTTGGCAATCATTATAACCAATGTCTGTGTGACAGCATATTCACTCATCTCATGTAAAAGCAGAATATTTGGGCACTCTAAGCAAAATATTAGGCATCTGTCCTCAGTGCAACATGCTCAAACTCTGCTTTGTTTGTGCTGAAATTTCTCTTGGCATTATGAGAAGACCTGGTTCTGTGACTATGGGTCTATGACTGTGGGTCTGGTTCTCTAGAGCATGGGGGCAGAATGGCATCTTTTTGGTGAATGTAAATTTTTCCTTTGTCGATTTTAAAGCTTTCTGATCCCTTAGAATTCTATTTACTGCCATCTGTGATGAAAAGATGATGGTAATTGGTGTGTCTTCTCTTCAACAGCTTTTATCTTTATTTTAGCTACCTGTTGTGTAGATACATGTTTGCGTAGTGTGCTATGGTAGCTTGTAGTAGTGTTGGGGTAGTTTTCCAGGTGGGGTGAGATGTTCTGATCTATTGGTTATGAGCTACTGATTTGCTCTGAAGGTTTATTTGAGAGAAAAAAAAAAAGCTGTTTTGAAGTGCAGCATGTACTGCTTTCCAGTGTTCAAAGTTGGTAGTGAAAGCCTGATTGATCACTGAAATGTTGAGTAGTACTGGTGTAGGCAATGTGAAAATACTTGGGACAAAACTTCTTTCCTCCAGTCATTGTTTTCTTATTATAATGCATTACTGTTTCTTGAAAATAAACTCAGCTTCTCAGCCCATCTAAATTGTACTGCTTTTCATACAGATCCAATTAGTTTGCAAGATTCTTCTCTTCACACAGATATTGCCTTTACAAAAAGAATCTGAAATACTGTCCATCATGCCAGTATGACATCCTATATACAAGATGCTGTTAAAAGTTTTTCAAGACTCAACTGCTTCTTAATTAGTCCATTTCAATCTATTTATTAAGTTTGTTAATAAGAATATTTAGCACCACAGCTTATGAATAATATGTTCTGTCTTTTGAACTGACATAGTGGGTTCACGCACAAGCTGTGACATCGCAGGCATGACTGTCATGAGCAAATGACACTGAATTAAAGTGGTGATTTTTATGAGAAGTTATGCATACAGCCACCTTGACTGGAGTAATCTTTTGTTCAAAGACTCAGCCACAAAGGAAAATATTCGTTACTTTGTCCTATTTTAAATACAATGTTTCTGGTCACGCCTGGAACTGCAGCTCAGGGAGACCAGAACTGAGCATGCCATTAGAAGCAGAGTGGACAATGAGCTGGAAATGGGAAAAATGAGTGCAGATGAGAGAGGAGGGAAGGAATCCATCTTACAGTGGGTGAGGTGAAGTTTTAGATCTGTTTCCACCTTGGCTGTGTTGCAGTTTAAACTAGAAGGCCAATGAAGGGCAGAGAAATACCTGCTTGGGCAGTCTTAAAAACTGTCTAAGGTATTTTCTGAGAGCATTCCAGAATTTTTGACACAGTGTACTTAGATGTGAAGAAATGGTAGGAGTGTTGTTGTACATGTGCATTGTATTTGCATTTCAGTCTGCAGTCACTCCCCCCACTCTCAGGTGAAATGAAAGATCTGGAGCTTCTCAAGACTGGTGGATGCCTGGTGCTGTATGTACATCCCCAGCCTGTCAAGGGCCACAGTTTGTTATGGAACACTGGTGCAATTGCTGATCTAGTGGTGGGTAGTAATTGCTACCTTTTATTAGTAAAGGTAATAATAGCTTTATTAGTAAGCTATATCCAGTCCCATGGATCATAGCAGGTGTCTGTATAATTGCTCTGCTCACTGTACGTGCTTAATCCTGACGTAATTCCAAACTATTATTGCTGAGAATACTTTTGGCCAGTGAAGCTGTTCCTCTAATGTGTGCAAAGATACTTGTCTTGATGTGCATTTAGTGGGTAAAGTGAACCTCAGAAACTTTCTTTTTGGACAGCTTTAAGTGTGTTGTTTGATGCCTGTGTCTGGACAGGAGTTAAATTGGACTGACAGGCTTTAATTTAAAGGGCTGAGATTATTAAGGCGAGTTTCACTTCCGTGAAGTGTTGGGAAGAACACAGTGTTCCTTCAGGTTAGCTGTGTTTAACCAGCTTTCCAGCTCCTGTTATTTGTAACAGGTGGCTGTATTTCTACAGCTACAGTACCTGGGTAATCTTTCTTTTGTCTGTAGTAGACCAGGAGATGTGCATTTCCATAGAAATGTTGCGTTGACTACTGTGTGGGGTGATGTACTTTACCTGAGATTGTATTTTTAAGCACAACAATAGAATGGTACTGTCTTTGCATACTTTAAGGTCCATATTAGATATGTGAAAGCTTTTCACTGGTAAGTTCTAAATGACCTGCAGCATTGCTGAGATAACCACCTTTCTTTTTTGCCATAGGCAGCAGATCACTTGAAATAGTGAGAAGGGAAAGGGGGAGCTGCCAAAGTGGGTTTTCATCAAGATTTTGTATTTAGGAAATACTTTTTTTGGTCTTCAGGCATGCTGCAAACTTTCTCTTGGGCGTTGCACAAAAGTGCTGATGATAAGCCTGCGGAAATACCAGCATATTTGCCCTGGTGTCTGGTATTAGTGTGGTTTGATTTGTGTTCATTGGAGCAATTTACAATTAACATTGTGCACCCTCAGATTATTCAGGAAATGGAGGAGCAGGATAGCTTAGATAATGCACAAAGAAAAGGAAATAGATTATGAATTAGGGAGCTCTAAGAATAGATCTGAACATAGAAAAGAGAAGTCTCTGATGCAATTTGTTTGTAGAACATCAAGATCTATATTTTAGCGAAGCTACAACCTAGTGAAGTTCCCTGCAGCACAGTGCAATGCAATCTGATTTAGTTTGGGCAGAACAGGTAGCTTGTCTGCCCACACATAATCCAGAATTATTTCTGGAGAAGTGTCTCCTTGAAAAGGTCTTACCTGTTTTCACCAATAAAGATAAATTCTGTACCAATAAGCTTGTGCTATGTTGAGTTCTGCTTAGCCACTTCCTTTGTTAGGTAACATTCATAATACGGGTACTTCAGTTACAGAAGGTTGATTTTTGCTCAAGTTGTTTAGTGGGAAAAATTACTTATTGGACTTAAAGGTGTCTTTTATTTGATGGTGATCTGAAAGCTTTCAGATTAATGCCTTGGTTTTGTCAAATATAAATAGCAAAGGGTGCTTTGGCCTTCAGAAACTTATCAGTTTCTTCAGTTTTGGTTTCTTAAGAAGGCAGTTTGTAATTTAGGATAGATTAAAATGGTTTAAAAATTTAAAAATATGTTCTGTATGAGGTAAGCGGCATAGGTGTTCAGTATTAATATTTTACAAATATATTTGAAAAATACCATATCCAAGCTCATATGTACCTGACCACTGACACACTGAAGGAGTTCGTGCTCATTGCAACTGCTCTCATGTCAGCTTTATGCAAGAAACTTGGGTTCATTTTTACATATGGATAACTTTTTCGTTGTAAGTTAGCAAACAATTCCACGGTGTTCCATGATTTAGTTTGTTGTGTGCTGCAGTTTATTTCTGGTGAAGTTGATGGGTCATCTTCATTTCAGTGCTTGATTCTAGGTTACCTCTATGAACCCAAATAGATCATATACTGGAAAAAGCTCTAGAGGTTGAATCTGAGGGGTGTGTGCTGCTCATCCTGCCATGTGAGTGTGTTGTGTTACGAATTGCATCCTCTTTGCTTGTGCCCTTGACAGCTGCAATAATACATTTTCCCTTCAGGTCTCATGGAGTTAGTATCCAGACAATCATACTGATCAAGTGTCTAAAAATTCTAAACAAAAAAATGGCCTGGATTTAATGCTGGGGGAAAGAAAGGGTATGGGTTTTTTCTTTTTTCTTTCTTTTTTTTTTTAGGTTTGGTTTGAGTTCTTTTTTTCTTTAGTTTTTTATGAAGTAATTGCATTTACTTTCAGATATCTTTTTTTCCTTCTCTTACTTGCATATTAAGAAAACTTTACCACGTAAACATTTGTAAATTCTATAAGCTTAGTTTACTATCTAAACCTTTAGGAGACCAACTTAATGTTTTCTGAATTTTCCCTGGAACATTTTTTGTAACAGTTCTTGGTGTGTTTTTTGTTTTGTTTTGTTTTGGGTTTTTTACTTAAAAAATAAAATTCTATTTTTCCACTCTGATTTTATTGAAAATGTAATTGTCCCCTACTACAAGAGAGTAGAGAGTGAATTTCAGCATCTGCACATCTGCAGGACTTAGGCTGCTGCTGTGATGGACTTGCTGAGTAATTGACCAAGATCAAAAAGGAACATTTCATAACTGGTTAAGTAGCAACCTAAATGTTAGTGTGTTTCAGTTCTATTCAGGAATATTAGTACAGAAAATAAAATTTAGGTTTAATGCTTAAAAAAAGTACATTTTATTAAAAATGAGAATTTATATTCATAAAAAATTATCATTTTACTAATACTTCCATTGCAGTTTGGCAGACAATTTTTCCCCATGGTACAATTTTGCTAATTTTGTATTTCTAAGATACGCCCTTACCCATTATCTGCATTTAGTTTATGTGCTCCAAGAGATTTTTAACTGTGCAAATAGGTGAATGTACCTGTATTTGTACATGTTATTTTGCAAGAATGTGCTAATTTTACTAAACAGTAAATGTAGTAAACTGTAAAACAGAGAACTTGTCCAGAGTGGCGAGTTTTTTTTAAGGATGTGGTCTCAATCTTTACAGTATGTAAGAAAATGTTGCAATGAGAATTCTTAAATGCAACATTAAAACATTCTGACTGGGATAAAATGTTTTGTTCGGTTGTGTCACAAATCTAACTTTAACCTACAAGTAATAG